CTCGAGAACGGTAGTCAATGCGTTAAGAAACAAATATTTTTTGTTCTTCTAAAACACCCCACTTCACTGACTATCAAGTGTGTGGTCATTTTTTCGAAATTCTAAGGGATGGTCTACCCCAAAAAACCGGCGAAAACGTGTTTGTTAACAAGCTCTATTCCTTCACATAAGAATAATTATAGATTGCTCTTTTTAAATAAGTAATGTAGGTAACGTGTTATAAAATAAATATATTTATATTCAGGAAGCCTTCTCCTCAGTGACTATCCAGTGTGTGTTGTTATTTTTCGGAAATTCTAAAGGTCAATCTTGCCAAAAAAGAAATTCCGTTTCTATTCACTGGTACCATGTTTCGTTGACTGCCACAGTGAAAAAGGCTGTCCATAGCCAGACACGCTTTATCTCGTTTTTTAAATCATAAATCGTCGAAAATATATACGTTCAATTAACAGAGGCTGTTCGTCTTGTTTCAAATTATACAGCAATATGAATTTAATAACTAATTAACTTTCTAAATAACTAATTAATGTATTGATTTTCCGTCAAAAATTCTGGAACGGTCTGTAAACAATCGACGTGTGGCAGTCAAGTTCTACTGAAATCGAACTGAAAGATCGCCAATTTTACACCTAAAGAGATACACCTTGCGACGTTTCCAGAGAAAGAAACTAAAACCAGCATCGTATTCAGCAATCTTAATTTTTTAAAAACAGACTTTTAATTTCATTATAATTATCTGGTAAGCGTCCATCAATTCAAGAAGAACCATCCAATTTTAATAAATAAAAATTCGAATTTCCACGTTCTGAAACTAACTTTTTTCCTTTCATCTCCTACCCCTTATTCGAAACTGTTTCATCCAGACAAAGAATTTACCAGTCTCTGTTCCCCCCTGTGAAACCATCACTTCTGCAAAACAACGACAACAGACCTAAAGGAAGTTGACCGTGGCAATGAACTCTGGGCTCTCATGCAACAATGTACCCTCGCGAGCAAACTTGGCTTCCGTTAGGGGAAATAGTGGCATAAGCCTAAGAACCTACTACCATTTAGTAAATTTATTTCAACTACTGAAATAAAGGTTAAATTAAATATTAATTTAGCATAAATTTGAGTAATTCCTGATACAAATAGGTCTTTCCAGTACACTTTTTCCTCTAGCGGAAATAGAGTTTGCACGTCAATATACAAGCTCAGCAAAATCGTTCTATCCCCACGACCGATCTCCACCGATTTCCGTGCAATCTACACGTCTAACTCGATGAATGGGAGAAAAAAAACATGAAGGAACGAACCAAGAAAAATTCTCTATCGTGACCGTGTACGCAGATGAGAGGAGAATTAGCATTTTATTTGTGTCCCCCTCTCTCTCTCTCTGCATGCGATCGATATTCACGGGGACAGGAGGTTCGGCGTCTTCGTTTTCCGTTGGAACCTTCCGAGCCGACACATTGTTCCCGCGAATCCAAAATGGCGGCCAACCCCCCCCCCCAACCCCCCCCCCAACGACGGCGGGATAGGTAGAAGGGGAAGATAAAGTTTAGAGGGGGGAGGTGGGGGTGATTGGACGAGAGGAAGACCGCTAATTATTTCACCTAGGATATCCCGATCTGCCAGCCCTCGGAAATCCATGGATTGCCAACCTTTCCCCCTCTTTGATTTTGGATTAAATCGTTCGGAAGAACGTGCCTCGGTCCCCAGGCTCTGGGTCGTACTGATTTCCTCGTGTGAAAAGTGAAGCACTGAGATGGTCCGTGGTTATTAACTTTCAGAATGGAGAACAGTGCAGGGGGTGGGTGTAATCTGTATTTTCTTGGAAAAATGGATGTTGCATGATTACGCATATTTCTTTGTTTATGTGGAATCAACATTTCGCACTAACAGGTTGAGGTGGAAGTTCACAAAGAATGAATTGTAGAAACAAAATAAACACCATAATCGCATTATTTATTATTTTAGTGTCTGTTCAAAGTGTTGTCACCCCATAATGTGATAAATTGTTGGATTACTCTTTGTATTGGCAAACAAACAAAAAACAGCATTCCATTTTAAAAAACGATACCATTAGAGAAATCTCAGAAGATATGACCTTGAGATGACCTTCAATCTCATAGCCTAATTTCCCCCCTAAAATACACCAACTTTCTCTCGAACTATTTTTTGTACCGTGACAAATAAGAGAATAATTAAGGGTGGCAGAGTTAGGTGGGACAGCCTGTATAAAGAAGCGAGTACAAGTGCGAAAGAAAGATTAAGAAAAGCGTAAACGAAAGACGGCCGCGACAAGGGTCCTCGAAGTCGTCAGAACTCGCGGGAATAAATGTCCTCGAGAAAAAGTTCCGGACAGTTGAGGCCGAGCAACAATCATTTCTCTTGTAGCCGCGGACGCTTTTGACACGTGAAGGTCATCTTTGTCTTCCTGAGCGAAAAGACACGTCTTTATTTCGTTTTATCACGGCGCCAGCCAATGGCTCTTCAGACCACGGCCACCGAAGGACGATGGAGGACATTATACGCGCAAAGCGACGCACGTGAAGAAGAAAAAAGTAAAATAAAATAAAACCGAGCAGTGGTCTTTGAAACTTTCATAATGGAAATTTTTCTCTGTAACGAAACTTTCGTCGCATCGATGACTACTCTTTATCGATGACTAGTATTTAACTACTACTCCGTAAATTTTCCTCAATCGTGACGGAAGTTATTCCTCGGCTGAACAATTGTTCTAAATTAAATTTGAAAAACTTTCCGTCATACTCTTGTACTATCGAACAGGCTTCAAGTTTCAGGAGGACCCACTGTAATAAGAAAATTTAATGATCGCCATGGGGAGGGGGATGACTTCGGGGGGTCGTTGAAAATGGCGTGCATCGATCGTCCGCGCGCGCGCGATGAATATAAATTGGAACGGCGAAAAGCGGAATTGCATTCTATCACGAAGACGTTGCGTCGGCAAATAGGTGCCAGTACACGTGTGCACGGATTGTGTTTCGAAACGAGGGGGGGGGGGGGGGTTGTCAGGTGGGGATCGATAACACACCGCCACAAAGATAGCGAAAGCTCGTCGAATGGGACATAGAAATTACCGTAACCCATCACAGTGCATTTGCACCCTTGCTTGAATGGCGAAAATCATAACAAAATATGTTTTATTATTTATTATTTGGGAGGGGGGGTGGATAAGCTGTGGATTATTGAAGGAGCATAATTTTAAGTGAGAGAAGTATTAACAGATATTTAGCACATGAAAATTTCATATTTTAATATCTATACTATTTTACAACATATAGATATTAATTTGAAAAATTGGAAAAATGTAATTGATTAAATTAAAAAAAAAAATACAGATTTCACCGGTGGATTAACAATATGAAACAAATGAACAATGGCGCGAAAATTGTTTGAATATGAAACAAGAAATTGAAGAAATAAAAATCAATATTTAATCATTTGCTCATTTCAACAACTTAATTTACTCGTTTTGATATAAATGTTCATTCACTGGCACGAATTCATTTACCGGTGCATCCGCCCTAGCCCCACACTGTTTACTCCAACCGACAAAAGAATCGTAAAGAAGAATCGTCAAAATATCACAAGAGGATGAACAGACAATTATTACGCCCGATAAACGTTCGAACGAAACAGAGGGACGCGACTAAGCGCAACACGAAGCAACCAAACAAGTCGTTTGTACCGGAAGTGCTCGGTGACCGTTTAACCCTTTAACGCCGAGAGCCCTAAATCTTCATTTAAAAATTATGAAACTGATAATATTATTTTTAAGTCGAAAATATCGATATTAAACACAGCAATTAAAAGAAATTATTTAATTTATTTTTGCTGGGAATACTTAAATTTCTCAACTGAAACCGTGTGGAGATCTACTTTACATCAGTGGAACTACGATTTCTTGTCGACGAAAATTCGATATTAACGACAGAATCTGACGCACTTTTAAAATAAGCGTTGCGCCGAAGCAACACTGGACGTTGAAGGGTGAATCCCCGATCCTCAGTAGAATAGGAAAACATCGAAACTGGATAACTAGAATCCGTTACCGGATGTTAATGTTTCGCAATTGATTTAGTCACGAGAACGAATTATCGTCGGTTAGACGGAAGCTCGCGCAGAGGTTTGAGAACTGTGATATTAAGCGGGGCCATGTGAGAGAGGGGTTGTATTGATCGAGCAGCGACGCGCCTGTGCCCACGCGCGCGCGGTGCACCGCCATGTTTAAAATGCTTCGAGGGTTGCAAACTGCGATTCAGCCCGCCACTGCTGCGCATTCTATTTTCGAACGATATCTCATCCGAACTTTCCCGCCAGAAATGGGCACATTCATTATTTATATAAAGAGTTTCGAATAACGAAAAAAACATTAAAAAACATTCCGTCACTTTCAATCGTTTAAACGTGGAAATTCCGATTTTTATAACAAAATTTTTGGCAAACAATTATTTAATCTTATCGACTGTTTAAAGCTTAGAATGATGTCATTAGATACTGTTGGTTTCACTGTGTGTTATTCGAATAAAATTGTGCCCAAACTGTCTTTTTTTAGCATAAATTCGGAGTATGCAGACTGGAGATATTTACGGAAATACAGCGGGCTATGCCACTATCTTTTCGTTGTAGCATTTAATACTGAAATATCCTGTGTAATTTCACAAACTAGAGCGTCCAATAGACACATCCACTGAAAATCCTCAACATTACCCTAAAATAATGCGAATAACGCGATATGCAATTGCATTATAAATATTATAATATAATAATTATAAATTATTTTATTAAGAAAATGTGTCTGTCGGACACTACTGGGTCGTCAAGGGTTAAAGTGGGGATAATCTATACGGTGATTGAGCGTGAGTGTTTAAAGTGGCGTATAAACCGGAATACGATAGATAAAAAAAATTTCCAAAAATCGTTTCTTTCACTTGTCTCGGCGTAACAACGTGGAACATAGATCGCCGCCGAAGCTTTTCGAGTTATGCACTTACCCTGGTTGCACCTTTTCCTCGTCCCCTCCCTCGCTCTCGGAACGCACCCTCGCCCGTCTGCAGATGGTACAGGTGCTGAAACAGAAATCAGAAGGTTCGTTAACACGGCGCTGCGGTCGTATAGTTACTAATTAGCGTGGGCGTATCGGTTCTAATTGACGTGTTCCAGTCGGTTCTAATCGACGTGGTCGTGTCGGTTCTAATCGGCGTGATCATATAGGATCTAGTTGGCGTGATCATATAGGATCTAGTTGGCGTGGTAGTATCGGTTCTACCCGACGCACAGTGTTACAGAACGCCGATTTAGGAATCTCAATTTGGGTATCAAAATTGGGAATTTCGGAACCAAACTTGGCAAGCATATATTTAACGCTCATATTTATTATAAACACACAAAATTAATAAGTAATGTTTTTTAATAATAATTTTTTTATAAACAAAACAAAAACTTCTCTTTTTTACAGAATTATCATTGTCAATCACAAGTTCTCTTGAAAAATATTATTATTAAAAAACATTACTCGTTAATTTTATATTTTTTTTTTTAATACATGTGAACATTGAATACATGCTTACCAAGTTTGGTTTTGAAATTCTCATTTTTATACACAAATTAAGCTTCTAAACTCCTAAACAGGCGTTCTGTACCACTGTGCAACGTGCTCCCATCGGTTCTAATCGACGTGGTTGCGCCTGTTCTAATCGACGTGGTAATATCAGTTCTATTCGACCTGGTCGTATCGGTTCTAATCGACGTGGTTGCATCGATTCTAATCGGCGAGATCGCGTCGATTTCCACGGCCCCGCTAACGACGCGTACGGATCGTTATCGTGGCCAGCGGCGGGCTATCGTGAAATCAAGGCGACCGTATCACCTCAATTGACCTCGTTAAGACCAATCGAGGCGCTAATAAAAGTATAACCTTCCAGGGCCACCACGCCGCCTAGATTGGGTTCCCGGTGGAACGCTTTAGGAAGCCCTCCTCCCCCCCCCCCAATCGCTCCGGGGCGAAGACTCAGGAGGTTCTTGTTTTCGGCCGCGGGCGATACACTTCGATCGTTTCACGGAGGTCAATTAACAAAGGGAGAGGGGGTAGGGGCTGCGGGGGTTAATTAGAATAGGGAAATTACACGGTAACGATGGAAAATCGGCCGTTTAACGGCGGTTCGTGTGACCCGGTGCTAATCGATCATTTTCAAGATCGTTTTATATTAGGTCGATATGTGTTGAACGTGGGGCGGTTTTGGTTACTAGTGCGTTTATGAATGGTAATTATTTGTTTAAAGTGAATAAATAATTATTATGTTAAGTATACTAACCACTTGCGTGGTAAGTTAAAGTGTGGTCGTTACAGATATTATATTGTGGGATATAGTACATTTCATTTTGTCCGCTTTGAAGAAGAAATTGATTTTGTCTATTAGTCATTCTGTTAGATTAAAAGAAACACGATGGTGTTACGTCATTAACTTTTTTTTGTCTGGTAGAAACGCATGAAACCAGTGGTCATTACGATGAACGCAATAGGGGTCGACCGATCCTGTTGCTAGGAAAGAACGTAATATGTAATGGCACAAACAGGATCACACAGATGAGTTTTATTATATCTAGGTAGGAATAAAATTGTTTTAAAATAGTCAGAATGAAATTGAAATTTATTATACCTAAGGACTGTTCTTCGACTGTAGAAGAATATAGTTACCATCGATTTTTATTTCTTAGTTTTTATTGCTTAATTTTTCCATAGGGTTTATTTTTTTCAATAAAAAAATTTTGGTAAGCAGGGAGCGACTTATCGCAACGGGGATTTCTCAAAAGATGCATACAGGGAATTTAATTCTGCTGTCTAGTGGAAAATGCCTGTTTTCCACGATCGGTAAGAATCTTTCTAGACTATTTTCTGTAGAGTACTATAGAATAGTGTACAATTAAGCAACTATATAAATATGTAGTGTATAGATTTCTCTAATCTGAGGACTTTATAGAAAAAGAAAATTAAAAGAATTTTTCTTGTTTGGAAAAAATAAACGAAGTTGACTTTTCCTTGTCGACAGTCGCTCAGTGCAGAGATCTGTATTACCACCTGAAACGAAGAATTACTACTGTCCAACTGGGTTCGTAGATGGCGCGTGCTGTGACTGAAGCTACGGCACCTTTTTTTTTACCGACTCATAGTGGGAAATTCGAAATAAAATATTAATTTCATTTCAGCATAAAACAATGTCGGTGAACTTTTTCTTCAATCCTCAATTATATTAATGACTATGCAAATATTATGCCTTTAGTTGCCACTATTATTACAACAGTATAATCTCTCTCCCCCAGTAACCAATGCCCCAAAACTTTCAATACATCTTCCTCTTATAGTGTACTATAAAATTTAAGCACAAACGTACGCCAAATCGTAAAACAAAAAGTTTTTATTTCATAATCCAATTTCATAATCAAAACAGTTCCTTGAAACCAAGAATATACCTATATTTGGAAAAAATACAGTCTATATCAAAACCACCCCTAAGGAACTCCACGAACAATATCCAAAACGGACCACGAAACTCTCACTTGCGAGGACAGAAAAATATAAAAAGACTTCGTATCCATTACTTACTTCAAAACCACAGCCCCCCCGAAAAAAATTTCTATACAGTTTACCCACCCCAAAAATCCACCTGCAAATCCCGCCAATTCCAGAAAATCTCCAAAAAGACACCGTGTAGCAATATCGCGAAGTCGCTGAAAAATTTGTCGGGACTCGTTCGACAAGGGGATGAAGGTTCGAAGCGTCCGCGAGAGATCCTCGGTTCGCGGACAGAGGGGACAAAGAGAGAAATTTCTTTGCATCGACGATTAATTACGCCCTCATTCCCGCCCCAAGTGGCCGAGGGGGCCGCCCTCTTGGCCATTGCTGCTCACCGTCGTCGATATTGACATTTGCCTTGCATCCCTTACTCTCTCTCTCCTCTTCGTTTCCACCCTTCTTCCTCTCTGGCTCTCTGTTCCCCTTTCTGACACTGTCGAGGGGTAGTGGGGGAGCTCTTCTCTGCACGCGTCCGTAATCGCGCGGGCGCTCCGAGAACGCACATCATCATCGACACACAAGATGGTGGCGTGTGTGCATACGCACCTCCTTTTCCGCTTTGTCCCTCTCTTTAACCCCGGCCTGTGCTTCTGTTTACCGAGAAACCGCGATATTTACGCGGAGAGACCATCGGGAAGGGACGACTTTGAAGGTGCAACACTCGACGATAAAATGGAAGGACGGAGGGGCCACGGGGGATGGGGGGAGGGGGAAGGGAGGATAGATAGAGAGGGTAGATGGGAGAAAAAAAAAATCGGAGAAAGAGGAAAAACGATGGGAAGAGAAGAAAAAATAAGCGACGTCGAATCGTGACGAGGGTGTAAGAGAGATAGAGATGATGAATGTGAGCTGAGAGAGAAGAAAATCAGGGTGAAATGAAAGAGGGAGGGACGAAAGAGAGATGGAATTAAGGGGACACACCCCTATCTTTCGAGCGTACAAACGCTTATCGAATGCACCGCCCCGACAACTACGCTGCTGCTGATGATGATGCTGGCTTTTCCTCGTTCAGCTCACCAAGACGGTTCTGTCATGCGAGGCAGCCAGGTAGGTTGGTAGGTAAGCTAGGTAGGTTGGTGGGAATCCCGCGGCACAAGGGAATTAGACCATAATCGTCCACGCGTGTGCCGACGCGCGCTCCTCGCGAAGGGGACGACGGTTTTCCGCCTGCCTCGGACCTCGATGTTCATTCGCGCGCGGGGGTATCTCTGTCTTTCTCTCTTTCTCTCTGTTTACCCTTCGCCGCCTGGTATGCAACCACCATCCTCACGTATTTTTCCCGTTCCTTCCTGAACAGTTTTTTTTTTTTTTTCAAACTTTTGCTCCTTGCAATAATTCTTAACCCCTTCGCGTCATATGACGGGTCTAACCGTATTATGGAGGGACAGACCCGTCATGCGATTTTTGAAGTTATTTATGACGTTTATCCTTAAATCAATTTTTGTCTGCGTGTATTAACATTCTTTTTTTTTTTATTTATATGGCTTTTAAATAATTTTCTATTCATTTAAACAAATCTCGAGGAATACATATTGACAAAGTTATAGAACACTAAATTTCGACAAATTTGCCGCTACTTTTCGCGGCTGTAGTGTACATCCTACAGAATTGATTCGTTTCAGATGAATCCTGTACGTTCTAAACGCATTAAAATCCGCGGGATCCACCGCGATAAAATAGTCTTAAGTTTCACGGCGAGCTGCGCGTCAGAGGGAAGAACGCGCGAAAGTGCTTTCTATATTAAAGTCACCAGGGCTTGGTCGCCGCGATATCACGGCAGGGTGCGTAAAACGCATTCATCTCGTCACACCAATAAGCTAATTATAACGGTGTCAAACACGCGCTTTTCCCCCGTGCATCCGTCCCGTTAACTTCTAAGGAAAGCATCGGACCGGGGGCGGCTTGAAACGCGGCTGAAAGAGAGAGAAAAGCCGGACATAGGGAGGAGATCTTGAGGGGTGGCATCGGCTTCTTCGATAATGTCGCGCGAGTGGTAAAAGTCCTCCCCTTTCTTCGTCCTGTTCGACAAAGGGGAGAAAAGTCTCGGGGAACGTCAACAGAGGGGGTGGATTATCGTCCCCCTCTGGGCTGTTCAGTTGCAGGAAACAACGAGAAATAAATAAATAAATAAATAAAAAAGAAACGGAGAATTTATTGATCAACAATTTGTTGAATAAATTCTTCCCTAGCAGTGGTCTATAAAGATCAATGAAGATTTTTTACTTTTGGAATTCGACGGATATAATGAGAAACAGATGAATAAAAAAGAAATGAAGAATTTTCTGTCAGAAAAGGGGGCAGTGGTCTCTGAATTAATAAAGATTTTTTCCTTTTGGAATTTGACGGATACAAGGGGAAACAAACAAATAACACAAAAATGGAGAATTTTCTCAGTTATATACAATTGAAAGAAGAAGAAATAAAAAAGAAACAAGAATTGACGCTAAATATTCTCCGATCGACTCTCTTCTTTCGCTATAATACTCAAACTTCTTT